ATATATATATATATATATATATATATATATATATATATATATATATTAAAATAAGATAAAGTGGTTCTTAAAAGCGAGTTTCATTCGAGTAAAATCCAAGTTAAGCCTATACGACCATATGGTATCAATAAAGTAAAAGTTGGACGTTGACCAAAATATTAAAATATTTGAGTTGTAATTATTCGTTACTGTAATGAACTTAATCGGTATTTTCCTCGAATAGATGGTATTTATTTATCGAAGGTGACAAATACAATTTATCAAACAAATTCAATCTACCAACTCACGTTATTTTATACATTTCGTCTATTGATTTTCGTATTTGCGATTCATGTGAACGGCAACACGCGGTGCTTTTGCTAATGTAAAAATCAATTTGGGCGAAACGCAAATTCACCGTTTATAATGAACGTGCTTTGTCGGGGGGGACTTGTTTTAGCGTGCACATGGTTGATGTAAAATTATTGAACGTGTCGTAAATATTATGATCCAATAAATAAATTGCAGTTGCAATGTCAAAACGAAATGTTAGGGGATACGATAGAAAATAGCTCATTTGCAATGGGGAGAAGCTATCAAGTGGAATTGGAAAATTCCCCTTGGGACGTAACGTTTTGCCAATCGCTTGCATTACGATAACAATTCGTAATTTTTTTTCGGTGTACTTGGAAGCTAATAAAAACAACTAAGAAAAAAGAAACCTCTGAAATGTTATACACACGACCAGGTCATGGGGGTTCGTGACAGACACAGATTTGTTTGTTGAAGTCAATACGCTGGGGAAATCGGTTCAAGTTCGAACTCTGGATTTGATTTGTCGTTATTTGTGTTTGATTCGATTCGGAAAAAGAATATAATACCTAACACACGAACCCTCTATTTGTCTAACAGCGATAGAGTAATGATAATAATAATAATAATAATGATAATAATAATAGTAATTGTTATTTCATCAGATATTGGAGTCCGGAGCAGATCTACAACGGGTAAACAGAGCAAATCGTAATTTATTCGAAACGTTTCTGCTTCCCGTTTTAATTAAAACCGAATGCGAAACGAATGATACAGCAGCAACGTTGTGTACAGTTTAAATTTATATTTAAAAATGTAATTATTTCATTTTATTTTACTTCATTTTTATTTACATTTTTTTTTTTTTTTTGGGCGACAGAACGAAATAATTACGAAAACAAATAACGATCGATGTCGGGGTAACAATTATAGTTCATTTATAACCGTACGGTTTTTAATCGCCGCAGCGTTATTTTAAATTTCTTACGAAACCAATCGGGTTTCGAACAGTTGCGTTCTACGTGCGTACCTCGATCGCACCCCGAAATAATCAAATCGCGAGAACGGCGTTCACCTGTTACAATAGCCGTAACGCGTTTTAAGTACTGAAGCCAATCACTACGATCACAATCAATAAACGTCGTCATCGCGTTGGGAACATTACCCGCCCGCTCGTAATTTACAGAGACATTACACAATGTGCGTCACATTCGCCATTAGCATGCGTGATGTATTCGTACTCGTGTACGGCAATAATATTAATAATAATAATATCTGACCGTACAACGATATACGCCCGTGGCACTGCTTTGTGCTCGAGTAAAATTTAAATCGCATGCCATTTTTCCAACTGGAATTGGTCCCTTGTCCGCGGGGGGGCTGACGCTGCGGAACGCGCGTTACACGGAACGACACGCAGTTCAATCCCTTTAACGATTTTATTATACGTTTCGGGACGGTCCGAAGAATGAGCTCACCCCGTACTCCATCAACAATGGATCCACGAAATGCGTTCGGGCCAGTGCTCCGACCCACCCTTCGCCGCGCGGCCAACTGAGGGAGGCACGGAATTCGAATCTAATCAATCGTTTTACTTAGTCCGGTTTCCCCGCGCGTTTCGGACCTATTTCCTGTGTCAACGGCCCATATATAAAGATGTGCACATACATAACGGTGCCGAGTGAACGGCGGTTGGTGCACACGGCCCGTCGATAAATTGAAACGATTTATCAGCAAATTATATACCGTCATAGGCGTACGCGTGACGGGGACGTGGACGAGCGAAAAAATATTACACGGGGTCCCGTGTCGGAATCGTATTAGCACTGGTCGACGGCGTTAGGGACGAGTGGGCGCGGAGAATTATACGAGTACTCACGGCGAACATAACTCTCGGCGTTTATTTCGCTTAAGTATCAATCTCGCGTCCGATTCGGTCGAGCCGACAGACGCGGGTGAAATACGATCGTAATACAGCCGGTGTACCGGCCGTGAGCGTGTACAACTTGCGTGTGCCGCGCGTGATCGCGTCTAATTGATATTGGTGATGGATATAGCCGGTTCAGACGTTCGTTGGTCGACCGCTGTAATAATAATAATAATAATAACAACGATAATGATGATGATGATGATGATGTTGATAAACCTTCCCGCCACTATAACAGTAAAAAAAAAAAAAAAATAAGGAAACTAACCTCGTGTTGTGTTCGCACGGTTCTATTTTTAAAGTTTGTTGATTATTGTTATTATTATTATTGTACGTGTGTCATTCGATAACTGTAAATAAAGCTCGGTGCATAGCCCCAGAATTTAAGTATGTATTCGATTCTATAGTTTTTGTCCGAGCCGACGTGTAATGAAGAAAACTAAGGAATCCAAATTATTCGCTTATTCATCGGAGTAGCTGTGACCGTTCGTCCAGCAGTGACGCGAATATTACACACACAACTAAACGAACGGTTCACACATAAGCTTTTGCAACGTCCTAGTCAGAAGCACAGGTACGATTTCCTTACACCTAAATATATATAACCATTCTGACTTTTCCGGATTTATTTCAAGTGCGAGGCCCTAGTTAACTGCCATCACGGGCAACACTTAATAACTGCCCGTTAACGACGGCACTGCGCACATGTTATTAATAAAATGATAAAATAACGAATAGAGCGACCGCGGTGTAACGATATAATAGAAACGGTTCGTATACCTTGGCAGCATTCGACGAGTACGGTTCGTCGAACATGGACCACAGCTGGGGCTTGAACCGCTGCCACCAGGTGAGTCTACCCTGAAAGAACGCCTCCTCGAAACCGAATTTCCGGGCCATCTCTTCGTCGCTAGGCTTCTCCGTGTCCAAGTCCAGCCGGTCCAAGACCGCGAGTGTTTCCTGCGTGTCCCTGTGCTGTAAACAGAAAACATAGAAATAGAGAAAAAGCATTAGCACTCGTAGAGCCAAACGCAATGGGCCAATCGTTATTGGAGGCAAAGTTACTACGACAACGCGACGAACGTCTAAGAAGGAATCGTTGATACGATTTTTTTTCAATAACGCACTATTATTGCGTCTGTTCGGCACGGCGCGCACCGGAACCGTTTGATCGACACTCAATACATATATATTATTTCCCAACGGTTTGAGCTTGGTCGTAACAGTCGCGGAAGATGTCGGAAACCTCGAGGGTTCACGAGCAAATACGCCGGGTAAACATACTCGATCGGAAGCGTCGCGACGACCTCTCTGAGGAACTCGCCGCGTTGCGAAACGATTAACACTCTGCCATCTCCCAGCCCAAATGGATTTTAATTATATTTCACCCTGCTCCGAGCGAATCACATACACTCGTGAACACATACATTATAATATACGCGCAGAGAGAAGGCGAACATATAGTTTTCATGCGTGTATCGGCACATGAAGGTCCGTTCCGCCGATCCTAACGCCGCTCGCTTCGTCACGCGAGTTTATACACTGTTATGTATATTTGATCCAGTCCCGTTTCATTGTGACGGCAAAGAGACAGTTTGGTGTGGGAAAGAGAAAGATTATAACGTGAACGCAATGAATGCATCCCGGTCGAAGACGGTACGGCGCCCACCGTACCCCGGAGGTATCCGCGGGTTTACTGTACCGGTACGCCGCCTTAGGCTAGGAATTCGCTGTAGATCAGATGTTTCAGCACGGTGTGGATACGTGAATGGAGCCGATAAGCTGTTAAGGATGACGGTCATAAGCACGTCGAACGGGAGTTCGATGACAAAAAAATAAAAAAATAAAATAAAGTAATAATAATAATGACCATTTCAAGCGTTCAATTTTACCCGTAATAGAGAAAAAAGTTATTTTAGAAAAGTTCAAAAAAAACCGTGTTCGTGTGATTTTGCGGCATGAGCGTTTGTCGGCCAACTCATCGACTGACGATTTGAAGTATTTCCACCGTTTTTGAACGGTTATTACGAAATGTTCGAAACAGCTCGTGTTGTGATCATTCTATATACGGACGAAAAAATGTTTCCTTTTATTACGTTTTTCGTATTTCGTTCGAGTAAATCGACTTTCGCTCGGTGGAGGAAAAAACTAAATTACGTATGTTTTTTTGGTATCCATTAGAAAACGGTGTGCCCGATCGCCGCGGAGGGAAGCACATACGTTGCATGACCGGAATACTTAAGCGAGCAATATATGATCGAAAATTGTTGAGTTCTTCACGGGAAACTTTGGTCCGTATTAAACCATCGAGATTAATAATATTAGACCGCAGTGTTTTTCGCAAGAGATTTATTTATTTTTCCGATCCTCCATTTTGTGGTCCGATAAAAAATGAAAACAGAAACTACATTACACGACTTCAACTCTTACTACCATTGTATATGGAATAAAAACAGCAAACAATTTATATCGATATTATTTTTATAATTGTTATTACTGTGATGTTGCATTGCCGTGAACTCGAATATTTTTTGAGTATAATTATCGTGGGTACACTTAGTATAATAATCACGGATGGAAATAATATTTATTTTGTTAAATTTAATTTTAAAATGTAATGAAAATCGTTGATGATGTGTTATTTTTAGGTACTTGTATAAACTGAAAGTTTATCGTGAGGTCTAGTTGAAACTTTGCACTTATCAATTTAACCAAAGTTAACATTTCGAGACGAGTATAAATTGTATAAGAGGGATTCGATAATGAAAATGAAAAACAACGATTGAATGTTGGGAATTTCTAAAGTACCAACACAACCATGTTCAGACTCACAACAGTAAATTGCACGTTATTGTTTTAACTCTAGAAATAACGACAAAATCGTGAACTAAAAAAAAAAAAAAATCCCTTACTGAACATAGTTTCGTTGTCTGTAATTAAAATACCAAAGTTGCTGCACGCACTTTCAGCAATTTTGAGTAAATGCTTTAGATATTTGGTTAATATGCGATAATGTAATATTAAACAATATCCAACCAATGACTAAAAAATGTAAAATTACACGTTGTATGAAGTTTTCCAACAACATTTAGCACACTTGATCAAAACGAATTTAAATATATTCAAATTATTCGGATATAACTTTCTAGAACTACAAGTGAAGTATATAAAAGTACACTGCTTAGAATTCAGTATTAAACAAAAAATCAATAAATTTAAAATTCTAATTTGAATGAAGCATCAACTATATTCAATTAAATAAGGCATCCCTGCTTTTTCTGACGAACTGGGAAATAATAAATCAAGATGTAATAAATTATTGAAAATGTTTTTTAAGTTTTTAAGATGATGAAAAACTATTGTTTATCGGTGCCGTTGAAGTGCGTTTCAGCAATTGTTAAAATGGCGCTATGGTCGTATATTTGTATAATGTATTGCACTCGTGTCAAATACATACGTTTCAACTCTCAACGGTTATCAGCTATTATTATATAATATATATATCGAATGGATTTTTATTGTGTTATGCGATAGTTATGAGTATGCAAGCGTAAAACGTTTAAATTCAACTTGTAAATGCTGTTTTATTTTCTATTCCACATGATTTCAATACCCCATCATTATGAATTACATTAATTTATGCTTGAAGCACAATACGTATTTATAATTCCTACCATTGTACATTATATTATATTGATCTGAGATTTGTTTGACGACCGTACCACTATCAATATTGTTTGATTAAATTCGATTTGTCATGAAAAAATAAATAAATTTAATACAATCTTTAAATTATTCACAATCCGTAATAGAATTGTTTTATCAATTTATTATGAATTGTATGACCAACTATCAACAGTTTTGCACTCTTTGGAAATTTCATGATACTCGTTGAAGGATCAAACTTCTTGACGTTTAACATTAATATTGTTTCAAGTTAATCACTATACACTTCATAACCACTTGAAAGTTGAAATCAATGAGGTAATTTTAGTCCCATGTTTTTACTCAAATTATAAATGACAAAGGGTAACATTGACTCAGAAAAAAATAAAAAATGTATTGATATATTGCTAAAAGATTTACGGAAAACGTAATACTTTGTGTATTTAAGGAAAAGATAATGTATTACCATACGGTAGAAGAGGGTGAAAAAAAAATTCTCAACATTACGTAGTATTTTATAGTATAAAAAACTATTGATATTAACGTAATCATACTTAGGTTGTAATAAAAGAAAAAAATGTTAGAAACAGCTTAGTAAATAAATCGATGTGGTTACAAATAATGTTTTGAAAATAATAATGAATAGAGATATACAAATTTATTTGCAAGCATATAGTCTCTAGGATTTTAAAAGTATTAATATAAAATAATATCAATGTTAATCAGTGCTAAGTATCATAAATAACATATTACCAATGTACTCAGAGTATCCGAGGGTTATAAATATTTTAACTCATTATTACTTTGAAATATGTATGAATGCTATTATATCTGTTCGTCATAGACGATGTTAATATCCAAGGGAGGATTTTCGTTGAAAAAGCAACATTTGAATGTAAATTATGATTCATATCGATCCACGAACGCACATTTATTAATATTTCAGCAAATTTGTGTTTCCTACTGTTCCAAGGTTATTGTCGTAATTCTATAGATTCCGAATACGCATTCACTGAAAACCACATAAACTACCAAATATTGTTTAAAAAGTTTAGAACTATAACTGACATATATTTTCTGACTCACTATTTTATATTATATTGGTTGGACTCGTATATGTATATATATATAATCGGTCTTACACAATTTATTGAGTTCAAAAACTTCTATTCACCAGAGTATGAAGTACTTACTGGTGTTTCTCAGGGTTCTCGATCCGAGCTACTACATTATTCCTATTATATTTATAATTTATATTTCGTTTTCAATCTCTTATTCGCGTGCACTTATTTCCTGATGGATAAATCATATTTCGGTCTATACATGCTCCCCATCCTCACACAAGAACATTGATAATTATTAAAGCAAAAATAAAATTGGCTTTTTTTACACTGTATATATACTGTATCTATGTATATGTTATGGTAATAGTACGAATACCGGTGAAACCTAGGATTTACCGGTAAATCCTAGGTTTACCTACTTTGATCGGTAAATGTCCGAAATTCGGACATTTAACAATTGTTTTCGGTAAAACCTAGGATATACATTATTGCATGGTCAAACCCCGAATGATTTTAGAAGTTCGAACTTTTACCGACGAGTTTTGGTAAATCTTAGGATTAACAATCAATGATTATTTAAGTCCGAAATTATATATTTTTTCCAATTCTGTAATAATTCTTACTTGTATTTATTCATGTGCATTTGTGTTGATATCAATAGTTTTATTTTAATTTTTGACTGTGATACGAATTATAATAAAAGTTTTAATCATTGTGTCTTCAATGATTAAGATTTGGAACAGATTTAATAGAAGATTAATTTCATAAATTGATATTGGGGCCAATTGCAGGAAGTAATTCTACGAGCAGTATTCGTTTTACAACTGTCATGGTTAGTATTACGAGTATACACAGTGTTCAATATATCGCTTACAATACGATTTTGTGAAATTTTGAAACATGTTGTGGAGTTATAAAATAACAAAAATAATTTTTATTTAACTGAGGAAAAATATAATATATCTTTAAGAGAAGTTAAAGTAGCTAAATCTGTTAACGTGAAAAAAAGTTCGCTATCGGCGACTTAAACAGTTTGATATTGTTAATATTACTGGTGAAAAAAAACTGATTGTTCTGATGACTTCGAAGTAATGTATTATTATGTTCGGTATAATGAGTCATATTATGTTCATATTGCAACAGGCCAGGTAGGTAGAAACCGTATTATGTATGAAGTTAATAGCATATACAAATATTTTAACATTGAGTCAATTTAAATAGGTAAGAATTATCACAGAATTGAAA